CTTGTTTTGATGAGTGTGACAGTTTGTGACACTAATGTTTTAGTTGGCAAGTTTAGAATGAGAAAATAATCTGATGGGTGTTTTGATAAGTGTAAGGGTGTGAACCTTTCCTAGACATGGATGCTTTTTTCGGGAGTGTTAAAACTGGTGACAATTCAATCTTGAATTAGTCTTGTGTCTGTGCGATGACATGGTATTTCTGTACTTTGGAGTTGCTCTTCTGTTGGTTGTTTTTTTTTTTTTTTCCTCATGGATTTTGAGTCTTTCACTCTTTGACCATTCTTTCTGCAGAAAATCCTGTCTTTTAGTTGTTAAGGATTACTAACAGATTGCAAGTTTCTTTTGATAGCAGTTCATAGTGATTGTTTAAAAAACAGTTCAGTGTAGGTAAATCGGACCTCACTCAGTATTCCAAACAAATATGTTCCTGAAACAACATAACAAAATGATACCTTGAAACAGTTTCATTGCACAAACAAGAAATTGTGTCTCTAGTTTTACTTGCTTAGCTTCCTGAAAAAAATCATTTGAGGTGTGCAAGCCATCATCTTTAGAAACATCTTGTTTGATGCTTTTGACTTAGACGTCAACCTTTATTTTTGGTTTACATTTTTTGATTTGTTTTCTTTGAAAATTCAACCTAGATTTAAAAAAAAAAAAAACAAACCCAAAGTGTAACAATATCACTGAATTCACTGTATTTGAGCTCTAAACAAGCTGTGAAGTCAGCAGGCTTCCTGGTGAAGTGCGATCAGATATTTCTTCATAAAAGCCTAACCACTGGGTTGTTGCAGTGGTGAGTGTTCACCGAGGTGATGGAATGCTTTGGCAGTATTTTACACTTCAGCTTTCAGTGGAAAATTACAGAAATTTTTCCTTAGACAGAAATTAATAGCAAAACGTATCACTGTTAGGGGTTATAAGGCTGTTATGTGTTGGAAGTTGCCTCTGTGCTGTAATACCCAGCACCTCCTTTTTGTTCTTTCCATTTTAAATCCTTTATGAAGTGTTACATCCCTGACGCGCTCTGTTGAAGGAAATAAGCATGTCACTATTACTGTACTTGCTTAAATCTTTGAGTGATGTTAGGAGAGTAACATCACTCACTGGAAGATGAACACGGCCTTTTCACAAAAGGTTTTCAGATTTCTGGGAAAGCACCTCTGTGCATTTTTGCAAGCAACATCTTTGATTTAACAGACAGGTCATTTTAGAAGGTGAGTGATGAAGACAGTTACATCCTGTAAGTCCTTCCTGTAGAGCTCGCTCTACCACAGGAGTGGAGCGGTCCTACATCAACATGAAGTCTCTGCCTGCTGTTTCTTAGCAGTAGGAGCTACCACCATGCATCTGTTCATCTGTTGTGTCTCCAGCTGTACCAGCAAACAGTTACTGCCTCCCAGATGTTTCTGACTGGAGGTTGACATCTCCTACAGTTTGCTTTTAAAATCATGTCTGACTGTTCTGTAATGATTATTGATCACAAGAAGCTTAAATGATTTGAGTGATGGTCGCTTCAGTGATCTGTCTTCTGTGCCTTTTGGCAGGCAAAAATGACAAGAGAGCAGTGACATTTCCTGCTGGCACGGCTGTGTCTGGAGGAGGTGGAGGTACAGGCAGCACCCTGACCCAGTTGTGATTTGGCAAGTCAGGGTGGAAGCTAAGTCCTTGACTGTGTTTTTACTGCTGTACTCCTCAGGAAAGCATCATGGCTGTAACAATAATTGGAATATTGAAGGTAGAAAAAACAGTCACAGAAATAAGTGTGTGAGAGTTGGTATAAGAGCATCAGAACTGCAAAGATGGGTATGTTCAGATTCCATGAGCTCTGGGGTGTTGGAAGCTGGGAGGGTAATGCAGGCCACAATGGCCTTTCTGATGGCTGAATGTCAGAACCGGTAAATGAGTGGTAACGTCTGAAGGGCTGAGCAAGGTGTTACATCTTTTGAATTTCTCTAACGGAAAGCTGTTGCCAAAAGGAGTTTTTCCACACTTCTTCCTCCTGTTCCCTTCCTCCCCAGAGTGCATGATTTTTTTCCCTCGTTCCTTGTGCTTAAACTTGCCAGAGGGCCAGCTTGGAAGCTTGATGTACAGGAAGCTGTGCCCTGCCCTTGGATTCATTTTGTGTTAGGGTAGTCCTTGAAGTCCCTCGAGGCTGGAGTACAGCAACAGGCCTGTGCATGGAAGGTGGTGATAGAGGAGAGGTATGGGAACTGCTGCCATTGGAGCAGTGAGGGAAGAATGATGGTTAGAGTTTCTGTGGACTGGGGAGGGAGTGTTTTAGCCTCCCTCTCTAGATGACATCCCTCCATCCCTTCTGGGCATCTGTTGTGTAACAGCCTCCATTTATTGTCTGACACAGATCTTGGCTGTTGGCAGTGTCTTTGATCTTTTCTTCTTCCTGGGGTGGCACAGTGTTATTTTTACAGCTTTTGGTGTTTGTCTGCAGTATATTACTGGCTCTTTGGAGCAAGTTTTATTCTTCATTTGGCAGATACTGTTGTCAACAACCATGCAGGCTGGCCTTAATGACCTGCCTATTAAACACCAGAAAACACTGTCTCTGAACTTGATTTCCTTCCTCATTCGGATGCGGGTGTGAAATCCAACTCCCTTTGGTCTGCTTGTTGTAAAGACTATAAAGTTCAGCTCTGTTCACCTTGGCAAACATTGCTAACGTAGTGCTGTAGAGTAGTTATTGCTTTTATAGCACCCTACCAACAGACCTTTCAGAGTGCTTTGCCAGCATCATGCTTCACCTCGTGTTTGTTGCAAAGAAGGCTTTATTAGGGTGTCTCAGAAGTACATAATGTGGCATGATGCTTGCCCTTCTTCACAGGTTTTTGCTTTTAATGGGCCTCTCTTTGTATGTAGCATGTGCAGTCGTTTGCACAATTAATAGATAACTTTGAAGCATTTCAGAAATGCAGCATCCTTTCTTTATGGAGAAAAAAGTAAAAATATTGCAGTGGTGGCCTAAAATGTGCCTATTGTTAAGTGGTCATCTGTAAATGGGAAAGGATAAATTGTTGGATATTTTTGTGGTGGCATAAATTATTAACGAACCTTAATGTGAATAAAATGCTTGAACTCTTGCGGGTTGAGAGATGGAAACTTAGAGTTGGCCTTCGTAGCATAGAACGACAAGTCGGACAGGGGACTTAATTGTAAACTATAGAAAAGGAAGAAGCAACAGTTAGATGTGAGTAAGCCCTGTGTCGTTATAAAGGACAAGTAGAAGAGAAATTTAAGGTTTGAAGCTAATAAGAGTAGTATAGAAAAATTCCCTACCACAACCCCCAACTTGAAATATTTGTGTGTGCAGGTTTGAGGGGAAAGCATTCACCAACAGTAAAAATGAGTATTGTAATTGGGTGGTAGAGGAAGCTAGATAGTTTTTAAAGATAGAAAGGATCAGAGGGTATGACTGCTAACTTTCTAATCCCATGTTAAAATGGTAATTTAGGTGAACATACAGCCTCTTTAATTGTTTTAAATTTCTAGGCAGCTTTCTCTCTCTCTTTTTTTTTTAATATTTTACATATAGATATTGTTAAGAATCTATGTTTTGAATCTTTGTCAAAGAAGAAACAAAGTTTCATCTGGTACATTTCTCTGGATCTTTCTGTTTAACAATCTGGTTGTATTGCCACCACAGTTCATTTTGCCCAGTCCTGTTTCATTTAGTATTCAGGAGACAACAGTCTGCCGTTTGATTATATCTAGTCATTCTGTGTTCTGAATATGTTGTGGTTTAACCCCAGCTGGTAACTAGGCACCACACAGCCGCTCGCTCACTCCACCCCCAGTGCTGTGTAAGCACTGCTCAGCAGTAACGAAAACATCCCTGTGTTATCCACACTGTTTTCAGCACAAATCCAAAACACAGCCCTATGCTGGCTGCTGTGAATAAAATGAACTCTACCCCAACCCAAACCAGCATGGGCAGGCAGGTGCATGATAAATCCCTGGGGCTACAGGTGCCAGCAATATTTTCAAGGGCTCCACCTTTTGTTTTTGCTTTGACATTAATGATTAAAAAAGACCCAAACCAAAACCAACTCAATCTATGGACAGAAAACCAAAATCAAGCTCAAACTTGCAAGACTTACCTCACACAAGATTAGAGTTGTAATAATATAAAATAACTTGACTGTTGTTTAATCAGGTGTGGTGATATACTGCACTTTGCGATAAAGAGTTTTCCAATGGCAAGTTATATTTAAGTGAATTTGTGAAAGTCATGTTTCTTCTGAAAGTAATAGATAACTTCAGAGGGAACTTCAGAGGCTGAAAAGTTTGGTTTTTTAATCATGTGGTTTACAAAAATCCTTTTCAGGAATTGAAACTGTCTGCAATGATGATTATTTCTTCAGAAGTGGTAGTAAACATATTTCTAGTTTTATCTCCCTAACCAGAAAGGGAAGAAAATTCTGCAGCCCCAAATGCTAATCCGTGTATACCTGTATACTCCTTGAGAGCGTGGACTTCTGCAGTTCCAAGTTTTGTACCCGGCTGAGGTATTTTCCAAGTTGAATGGGCACAAAGATAGGCTTGTGAACTTCTGAGATTAACGGGTAGTGAGCTGTGCTTTGCAGTGCAGTAATAGCCCAGAGAATTGTTTGAAACAGGAGATCAGAAGTCCACTGTATCTTATGATATGCAGTTCGTGAAGGTTGTCAGAAGACTTCTCAAAATGAAGAATGGAAGTTGAATGTCTTCGTGTCACTCTTGTTTAGTGTGATAGGTTGAAATCAGTGCTAGAGAAGCTGCAGAGCTGTAGCTTGAGGAAGGAGGGTGCATAATATGTTTTAGCCAGATATCCCCTTTAACATGTAATCAGAAAGTATTTTTATTTACTGCAGTCCTCTGAAAGGCAGAGTTGTCAAGCACAGGTGTCAGCATTGTGTAGGGTTGTGTCAGGGTGGCTTACGAACGTGTGGCTGTCAGCAAATGCTACTGAACTCTGCCGGGTTATTTTTCTTCTTTGTTGGCCTTAGGCCAAAGTTGGTGATGAAAAGAGGGGGAGGCACAAGCTGCTAGAGTATCCCCAGTGTGAGGATACGTGGCTGCTTGATGATATAAACGAACGGGTGGAACAGGTGGGAAAGGTGACGGAACTGTGAATCGTTGAATGGTGGCGTTAGCTTTGCAGCGTGTTCATGTGAACAGAAGGGTTTGGGGGCTTTAAGATGACCTTTAAAAACCTCCCAGTTTCTCAGTTCTTTATGCTTCAATATTAGCTTTTTTAAAGGGGAAATAATTTTTTACTCTCAAAGAGGAAAAATGTCTCTTGTTCAATTCCAGCTTTAATCTCTACCAAATGCAGAAGAGCAAGCACTGCCAGACAAGAATAGTTCCACGGGAAGAAATCTGGGGGATCCAAGGCTTTGTAGCAGTCCCATTTGTCATCATTCACAGGAGAAATGTTAAAGGAACCTCTGAATATCTCATCTTTCAATATTAGTGTAGAAATCCGTGCAGATATTTCAACGAAGGACAGATGTGTGTTGATAATGCAGTGATTCCCAAGGAAATAGATTTGACGGAAATAAACATTGTGTAGATGATTTTCTGTGTATGGTTACAGTGACTTAATTCCAGTGAAAAAACTATTGGAAGCGGGGGCAAAAGGTGACTACGGATGTCAGGCGTGCCCTCACTCCCACCCCAGTAGAAGAGGGAGAGGCTAGTGGTACAAGTACAATGTAGCTAAGTCCAGCTGTGTGTGTTAGCTTTTTCAGTGTGGTTTGTGATTGTTTTTCTTTGTATGTAGGTGATTGGGTTTGCTGGATCTAATTTACAAACATCTACTTGTAGGAACATTCTGTGCAGAAAAAGAAAAAGGATAAGCATTCAAAAAAAGCTAAGAAAGAAAAGAAGAAAAATAAACATAAGTCTAAAAAGAAGGAGGACTTAGTAGATAGTTCTTCGGTAAGTAAGAAACATTAAAATGCTTCAAATGACGTTTTTAAAACCTGCACCATTTTAATCTCTGTATGTACACATGGTTAGTCAAGTTCAGACTCACTCTTACCATTTTCTGTTGGGAGAAATGGACAGAGTTTTGTCTTTTTAATATACCAAGTATTGAATCAATTTAAAAGATGCTGTTATGTGAGTGCTTGTGAATTTTATCATACTGAATTCGCTCATTAGGAATTAAGGAATTTATTGTTTTTCAGCAGAGAGAAATTAAAAAAACCCCGCCTCATTCTAGGATAGAGTGGTAAAAATTCCATAGGTTCCCAAATAGTCAGTGGTGTATGATAGAACGATGTGTCTGAAATTACAGATACTTGTCTTGGGTTTTAAGCATGAGTTACTCCTGCCTTTTTCCATGGGTGTTCAACCATGGGAAGTCCCAACACCATGGGAGTTGTACGTGAATCTGAAGGAAGGCTCAAACTTGTGCATTTGATGCTGTAGACAGATGCATTCACATGAAGGGGCACCCTGGCGAACCAGCAGAGACTGCATTAGAAACCTGTGTGCTGCTTTCTGGGCACGTTGTGTTAAACATCCTCCAAGAGTTTTGGTGCCAGTCAGGTACCACTATGATTTGGTTTTTTTTCTTCTTCTCAGAGAATCTCCTTTATTGAGTGAACATACAGTATGATGTTATTTATTTTCCAGAGACTGATATCAGAAGCGAACTATGATTTTCAGTGTGGGAAGTAGCGTAAGCCACCTGTGTCCCACACTTCCCATGGGAGTCATCAAAACCCCTCACATCACATCAGTGAGTCCCGGGATACATCATGGTTCTGGCTGATACCTTCAGTCCAAAGTCTATTATTCCCATGACAGGTTTACATAAATAGCAGAAATTCTCTGTTCAGTGGAGTCCTACATGCTTCAAGTGTAAAATCTCAGTACACTGTTTGCAGGTGTCGGGAATTGGGTATGAAAATAGGAGGAGATTGCATGTACAGTACATTGTATTGTACCATTACTGATTTTACTTCTTCAATGTGAATCGTACTTCTTAATGACTTTAGATTTATTTAAAATCTTTTTTTGGTAATGGTGTAAAAACAATTGGTTTTGGTTTTATTCTGACAGTTTTGACTTTAGCAGTGTTATGCTGATAAACTGCCACTATGGACTAATGTTACGTGCTGTGATGTGCTCATGAAGTGTGGTGGAATGTTTTGGTCATGAAGGAACAATCAATATTCTATTTTTATTTCCAGTATTTTTAAATGATAAACAGTATTGTGTTAGTAATGCTTAGCAGTCAGCATCAATTTTGATTATCAATATACGTGGTAAGTGTTGAATTTTATCAATGTATAATAAATAGTATGTTGGGGTTTTATTATTATTCTTTACGTTAAATTCTATTTTTAGGATTCTTCAGTTGAGTGGGTTGAGTCAAATGTGTCACAGTCAGATAACACGGAAGAGGCTTGGAAGGTCAACAAGCAATCAGATGCTGTGAAAGAAGCCTCCCTGCAGGTGAGCAGTCTCATAACTACTCCAGAAATAAATTCAGCATGACCAAATGTGAAACGTGCTTAGGTTTCTTGACAGCTTTTTTGCAGTGTGTTGAACAAAACCTGTTTTACAGACAAATGCCTTTGTTTAGCCAGGTAAACGTTACAGTTCACTCATAGGAAGACTTCTCTACTTAATAGTTGCTTAGTATATAACAAGACACTAATCTTAGTTGCCTAGCACAAATTCCTTTCATGGTGTTTTGGGGCTCTAGCCACTTTGCTTGATTTTATTGAAGAGGCCAGCTTGAAGATCTTGACTGGACCTATTTTCTGCATAATTTTGGTGGCAGTTCTACAGCTGAATCAATTTTTGCTTCTGTGGTGTTTAAACAAATATAAAGAAGAGAGGTGTAGAACTTTCAGCCACAGTATTTATGGAATAGCTGTTTCTTTTGATTTTCTTAGGTGAATTCTGTTCCTGATAAACAGCTTATTCTGGAGAATGGAGACATTTGGAAATGAACTGCTGTGATTTTAGTACCATAAATGTAGTTACATATCATCCTCAGTTGTGTGAAAGGATAATTTTAATGTAGTGTTTGATTCCACTCTTGAAAAAAGTTCCTGTTTGTCATTGTGCATTTTGTTAAGAGAAATAAAAAGGATCTCAGAATCATATCTGTCTTCTTGGGAAAGTATAAAGTAATGAAATATAAATCCTTGTGTGTGTTATGATAACTTATACTGCAAAAAGAGTTTTTTCCAAACATTTATTGTATAATGTGTGCCTGGGGCTTGTCTGGTTTTGATGAAGAGAATGCTTTTGAAAGGAAATTCTTGGTGATCCCCACTTGTGTTTTGACTCACATTATGAAGAAGTCTTGGAGCACGTAAATCCGTTTCCTAAATTAGAAGTTATGTTCTCAAAGTGCGCCTAACGTTCTCCATGGGATCAGTCTTGGACTAGTCCAAAGTGCTTACGTAAAAAAAAAGACCACAAACCCCACAGAAACCCAAAACCAAAAAAAAGTCAAACAAAAAACCAATGCTCCCCCTCAAAATTGCAGAAACTGTGTATATTACTGCTTTCTTTTGAGGCTTTAGGTTTTGTGTATAAAGGTAGTAGGTATATCTAGGCTTTTTGCATGCTGTTTTTCTTTAAAGAGTAGTCCTCATTTTAAAAAGTTCCCTAGTCTGACTTAGGTTCTGTAAATGTGATTTTCTACCTGTTATTGTGGGTACATTTCACAGAATTTGGGTGTGTGTTTAATTTGAGGGTGCAGTTAGTGCCAAGGTATCCAAGGTATGAACTATGCTCAGTTAGTGATTGCAGATTTGGTCATGAAGTTGGAATTAGCAAGGTGAAAAGGAATTGATCTGAGTGTAGCCCTGAGGAGAAGTACTTGGGGGTACTGGTGGATGAAAAGCTGAACATGAGCCGGCAGTGGGCGCTGGCAGCCCAGAAAGCCAACCGTATCCTGGGCTGTATCCGGAGAGGTGTGGCCAGCAGGTCGAGGGAGGGGATTCTGCCCCTCTGCTCCGCTCTGGTGAGACCCCACCTGGAGTGCTTCGTCTAGCTGCGGAGCCCTCAACATCAGAAGGATATAGACTGGTGGGAGCGAGTCCAGAGGAGACCACGAAGATGCTCAGAGGGCTGGAGCCCCTCTGCTATGGGGACAGGCTGAGAGAGTTGCGCTTGTTCAGCCTGGAGAAGAGAAGGCTCCGGGGAGACCTTATAGCACCTTCCAGTACCTGAAGGGGCTACAAGGAAGCTGGGAGAGGACTTTTTACAAGGGCCTGTAGTGACAGGACAAGGGGTAACGGGTTTAAATTGAAAGTGGGGAGGTTTAGATTAGATATCAGGAAGAAGTTCTTCAAGGAGAGGGTGGTGAGGCACTGGAACAGGTTGCCCAGAGAAGCTGTGGATGCCCCATCCCTGGAAGTGTTCAAGGCCAGGCTGGATGAGACTGAGCAACCTGGTGTAGTGGAAGGTGTCCCTGCCCATGGCAGGGGGTTGGAACTAGATGATGTTTAAAGTCCCTTCCAACCCAAACCATTCTATGATCTGTGTTCATTTAAGCAAATAGTCAGCAGTCTGTATGGTTTGCATGCTTACTGGTGTCTTAAATGCATTGTGAAGATGTATTTCAAATTACAGAAAGCCATATATAAAATTTGTGTAAGCGAATATGAAAAAATTGAAAGGTAGGGTTCTTAAAATCATACTTGCTTTTCATTGAAGTGTTCTACATCTGTTCATTAAGGCTATACTATCTTATTATAAGTAACATCAGTAGTTGCAGTGGCTTTATTTGTACCTAAGCCATCTTTTTGTTAAGTATGAACAGTGATTCTTTTTGTTTATTTTAAAGAGGGAAGAATGGATGGATTTAGACTTCATGTCGTTGAAAACCACATCAGTAGCAGCTGTCAGAGGTGAAAGACACAAAGAAAAAATATTGGAACGACAGAAAGCTCAGGAACTGGAGCAGGTAGGAGGAATTAATATATAAACTTTTTTATGCATCTTGCTAAATTTTGTGTGATGAATGAACCAATGAATTAGTTCAAATATATGTCTGTATAGTTTTTAGACTAATGCCTGATGTACTGTGTGATACTGATTTTAATCAAATTGACAAGTTATTTGTTCTGCTTGGAATGGCAAGGGTACATACAGCAGGCTTATCTTGTAGGCAAAAGCCTTTAAGCTATCTGCTAGGGAAGGAGAAAGCCAATTTTGTCAGTACTAAGTTCTGTAACAGTAGAAACCCTTCTCAGATGTTGGTCTGGCCTTCTTCCCCATGGTATGTGTGAAAACCACTGTTTGTTTGATAAGAGCTTACCTACGTTCCTGTGTGAAAGCCTAGGGTGCTGAGGCTTGTTTCACATGAAGAAGGAATTCAGAGCAGTCGCCTTGCCTTTCGTGCTGCAGTTGTGCATGAACACGTGGGTGGGTCAGGGTTCAGCTGGGACAGGGTTTGCTGTCATTAAATTAGTTCTGTTCGCATACTGGCTGCTTCATTTGTTCATTCAGCTCCTTAAGTGCAGTGTAGTCTGATCAGAAAACATAGCAGCTGATCACTAATTTACTTGTCCTCGCCTCTCACATGAGGCCATTTGTTGCCGTTAGGTTTTCTAGTTAGCTGTGTTGTGACTGGGAACCAGATTGCCCTGCAGTGCTGTTCTTGTGTAATATGTGGTCCTTTGGTTACTGACTTTTGAGAAGGGATTAGTCTCTTTGGGTTTTTTCCCCACATAGTTTTTTGCTGCACATTTTTTCCGAACCGTTGAAAGGTTATTTAATGTGAAATTAAATTTGATGCATTTAAATTTAAAGGTTATTTAATGTAAAATTCAATCGCTGGAGTGTCAGTGTGTTGTATGATTAATGACAATTTATATGTATTCATGATCCTATAGGAATATGATTTGTATAGACTCTCCCACCCAACCAGTTACTCTCCATGAGGGTTTATACTTTTGTGCTTTCTACACCAGAATGTCCTTTCTTTGGTACCCAGAACGATCTGTACAACAGATGCCTACAGCATGCCAGTGGTGGTGATGCATTAACAATATAATTAGACAAATACAGATTTTTTGAGTGCCTAATCACCTCTTTTCTCAGTTGGCTTCCTTGCCTGCTTCCGGAGAAGTCAGCTGAAGGAATCACAGTAAGTGATCTAGTTTGAGGGTGAAAAGTAGTAACTTGAGGTAGAACTAAGAGCCTCCGAAACAGCAGTGCTTCTGGCACTTCTTCTGTGCTTCTGTGTAGAAGGGTGCCACCTAAGCACACGTTTGAGAGCTTTGACTCAGGACAGAGTTATGTTTATTTCTACCTGTCTTCAGACAGCAGAAGTTATGAGTGAGCTGTTCGAGTTCCACATAAGTCTCTCAGAATTTATCAAGTATTCTAGAAAATACAAACCATATGCTATGCACACATGAAAATTATTTCTTTTTTAGGCCATGCTGTCTGAGAGAGAACTCAATCCCTATTGGAAAGACGGTGGCACAGGTTTACCATCCGAGAAGGATGAGGCAGCTACAGTTAAGAAAGGTAAACAGGAACTTTTAGTAATAATCTTGAATTTCTGTTTTAAGTCTCTGGCCTCTGTTGCTAACAAGTTACTACTAATGTTGATGTAAAGGGATTACGAATAACATGTAATAGAGCAAAGTTTGGATGAAAATCCAGTGGTGAATATTGGGTTAATATCATAGTATGTTGTTTTGCAGAATTTCTCTTCACTGGTTTTTAATTTTGAAGGTTAAACCATTCAGTATCTTTACAGAAATTCTCCATTTTGAACTAATTAACGGAAAACACGATTTAACCAAGACAAGATAAATTGTTGTCATCTCATTTGGTTCCTTTCATTCCATTACACAAATTATAGTTTTAAAATATTCAACTACAGAAGTCTGAGTCACATTAAAATGAAGTACATCAGAGATGCAGTTTGCAAAAAATATTATTTCTGTAACCTTTTCACTTCTTTCCTTACCCCAGGGTTATCCTGCCTATTTCCAGCAAGAGCAGTTAGAAAACATTTTTCATAATGTCATGAAACATTTATTATGTGATAAGAAGGGTCCTTGTATTCTGTCAGCAGGGAAGGGAAGGGTAGGGTCTCTGGCTTTTCTCTTTGGGAGCCTTTCCCTGTGGACAGTTTGTCCTGCAAACCATTAGCCTGATGCCTACTTTTAGGAGTAACAGAGGTCAGTGATCTCTAAGAGCTGACAGGCATCAGTGAGTATGTTTCCTGAATGTTAAGACCTCTTCTAGCATCTCAGATGGAAAGCAATAGGTTGCTCATTTATTTTCTGAGAAGGGGAATGCACTTGTTTGTATATAAGGGGTGTGCCAAAGAATGGACACAGAAAGTGGAGACAAGTTAAGGAGGTTCCTTAACTTCATACAAAACCCCGCAACTTCTCATATGCCACTCCTATCTTGGAAGATGCTTTTTGTGTTCTGTGATAAAATGGAGAAGCTTAAACTAAATCAGTGGTATTACTGAGGTATATCCAGCATTAATTTGTAAAACCATGGAGTTGTATTATTGATTATTTCTGTTTTTCTTTTGCACACATTCAATTTTTACATTTTACATCTTTTACAAGGGCCTGTAGTGACAGGACAAGGGGTAATGGGTTTAAATTGAAAGCGGGGAGGTTTAGATTGGACATCAAGAAGAAATTCTGCACGAAAAGGGTGTTGAGGCACTGGAACAGGTTGCCCAGAGAAGCTGTGGATGCGCCATCCCTGGAAGTGTTCAAGGCCAGGCTGGATGAGGCTTTGAGCAACCTGGTCTAGTGGAAAGTGTCCCTGTTCATGGCAGGGGGGGTGGGGCTAGATGGTCTTCCAACCTAAACCATTCTATGATGATTCTATGATTAAGCTTAGGTGAAGGTTTAATGTCACATGCAGAGTAAGGTTAAATAGGAATGCCTACTGAGATATAAAACTACAACTTCTCATTGTTTTCTACTTTAGTTACAGTGGTAGAAGATGCTGGATTAAGTTGGTTACGAAAATCATACCAGAGGATGAAGGAACAGGCTGAGAGAGAGAAACGAAATTTTGAGGAAATTGTAGCTGAAAGATATGGGGTAAGGATCTTTTTTCATACTAATAAATGCTTGGAAAAGGTCACTTTCACATAAAGGCACAAATGCTTAATATGTAGTGTAAGACATAAGGAAAGAAGCAGGAAGAATCAACCTCTGAAGCTTCTCTCAAGTGATGAAGTGTTTAAAGCTATCCAGCCTTTTTTATCCTTTTTTGTTAAATATATTTTAATACATGGGATCCTGTAGCAGATTTAAAATATATTATCTTCTACATCAGGAGGTTCAGATGATCCCAGTTACAAAGTACCTGAGTGCTTCCAAAACTGTGATGTATACTGGAAAATATATTTTGTTTTTCTGCATGCAGTGGATAATAATGTGCATTGTGGGTAATAATGCCCAGATAATTTGGAGAGCTGTGTCAAATTCCAGATTTGAATATTCTGGCCACTTGTGATCTGCTCAGTCCAGATATATTGAGAAAGCTGCTTCCTTCTGAAGGGTTTAAGTCTTCAAAATTTATTTTTAATAAAACAACCTGCCATAACAGTATTAACTCTCTAAATCCTGTGTCGTGTGTTGTTCCCAACACCTGCCCCTCCCTCCCCCCCATTATATTACTGTTTTTAAAAGCATTGGTCCAGGTTGTGGGGTGTTAAATCGTGGGGTTTTGATTAGGTTGGGTTGGTTGTAGAAATTATGGGTAAGGCAGTATGACTTCATACTATTGTCCTTGAACTGAATGGTAGTCAGTCCTGAGTGAGGAAACCTACACAGTCAGTGCTGGTTGAAATTATTCAGTGCCAGTGATTGTAAAGAATATTATATTTACGAGTCTTTCTCAAGAAACTGGAGTTCAAACAGCATGAACCTCTCTGGCTGCTGAAGTACTGGATAGTGATTGAAGGAGATCCCTGCCTGATGTGCTTCAGTATGTTTGTTTTGAGGGCGGGGGGGGAAGTAACTGGTAGCTTTTAATTCAGCTCGGAAGAGGGAAGAGGAACAGTCCTCATTTTGCATAATTGCCTGAAGGATGGAGTATTTGTCCAGGAAGGCAGAGACAGGGGTTCAAAGCCTGTTTCAAACTAAAGATTTTGAACCCTCTCTCCTGTGTTTTTAAGAATTTAACTAGGTTGTAAAGTGATGTAGTGGGAATTGGTTCTGTAGAAGATAAGCATCTGGTTAGCATAAATGCAAGGTGTGTGAGCAGGAAAGAGGAAGCCTTTCTCCCTGGCTCACACCTCTGATCTCCAGGTTGCCAGGAGTAGACAGTTCTGAGGCTCTGGCCGTGGTTCCCAGCACTGCTTTAGCACTTCACTTTAGAGCTATGGGATGAAAGTTAGAAATAGTCCAAGCGAAGGGATCAGAAGGCCTTCCCAACAGAGCATCTTAGACACGAGACTGAGTTCCCTTTTTCTTCCTGGTCTTACTTTCGGCTCCATGGCTCGTGCCTTGCCCTTTGCACTTTCACAGAATGGTGCCTTTCTTGCAGTACTTCATAGGGAGCTTCACAATACACCATGATCTTAAAAGCAGCATGACTTTTTTTATTCTTTCTTATAGTCAATGGAAGTATTTCAGTCACGATTAGAAGAAGCTGAAAAAGTTGCATCCAGAAAGGAAAATTATTATAGAAGTGGAAGATGGAAGAAAACTGACTATGCGGAAAGTGAGAAAGAGAAGAAGGAATGTCGTATGAAAAAGGAGACACAAGAAGAAGATGGTAGAAACAGGAACATGTTTGGGGGATATGCTAGGGAGAAGTATGGCGGGGGATGGCCACAAGAAGACAAAGGTTACAGAAGACAGATGTCAAGAAAAGACCAAGAATGTGGACACAGTAGCACAGACTCTGAATTGAGAGGCTATAGCTCCAAAGCTGAAAAACATCCCGATGAAAAACTAAGTCAGGAAAAGAGTTCATTTCTAAGCAACATGAAACACAAATTTCTGAAACCCTCTGAAGATGATTCATCATCTTACAGTGCACCTAGAGACTACAAGTCACAGCAGTCCTCTTCCAAACTGCCGGCTCATAGCTCTTTGAGCAGTCATTTCCAAAAACCTAGTGAGGATGCTCCCCTGTGGACTGAAACTCACATAAAAGATACCAAGGAGAAATTAATGTCTGATCAAAAATTGTCAGGTACTAGGGAACAGATTGGTGACATTAGTTGTGAAAGAACTCCAAGAGATGAAAAAGAGAAGTCACGGCAGGAGTACTCAAGCAATATCCCTGAGAAGACACAGATGTCATCTGACAGTAAAACATTATGTTCTAGGTATTTTACAAACATTTTTACTTTTGTTTGCTGTATCTTTCATGGCAAAGTATGCCGGGGACTCTGTCTTCTCTGTGACAGTATTAGTGTTATTAAAGCCTGGAGAAGAGGAGGCTCCAGGGAGACCTTATAGCACCTTGCAGTACCTGAAGGGGCTACAAGGAAGCTGGGGGGGACTTTTTACAAGGGCCTGTAGTGACAGGACAAGGGGTAATGGGTTTAAATTGAAAGTGGGGAGGTTTAGATTAGATATCAGGAAGAAATTCTTCCCGGAGAGGGTGGTGAAGCACTGGAACAGGTTGCCCAGAGAAGCTGTGGATGCCCCATCCCTGGAAGTGTTCAAGGCCAGGCTGGATGAGGCTTTGAGCAACCTGGTCTAGTGGAAGGTGTCTCTGCCCATGGCAGGGGGGGTTGGAGCTAGATGGTCTTTAACGTCCCTTCCAACCCAAACTGTTCCATGATTCTATGACTCTAATATATCTGATCATATAATATCTCTTTAGGAGGGGGCCAGCCTCCCAGCTAGGAGCAGCTAAAACACACCACTGTAGAGGGAATGAACACTTCCTACTTGTCCTGTCTCAGCATATTTGAGAATTGCTGTTGATTTTCTGCATCTTTCTAATGTTAGTTCCCACTGCAGTAAGATTGGCCTCCTAGGCAAAAAAAAAAAAAGGCAAAACATTATCTTAACTGTCGTTGAATTTATAAAAGATAAACTTGAAGTTTTAGAAAACACTGACCAAAACCTGAAATAATTAATACAGCAGCAATTGGTTTGGCTTCTGTAAAGCAGTAGCATATGAAAAATAGTAGAACGTATTGATTAGGAAAGTGCATTTGCTGTGGAAAAGAGGAAAGATGAATAGGAGTGGGAAGGAAAAAAATAATTTATTTTATTGATAGCTGTTCTTGCATGTAGTACTTGCAGATACCTTACTGTGTATTTGCAAAGAAAAATGGTACACTGGAAGAGTACCACATGACGAACCAGAAACAGGCAACTTGGTCTGCACAATTCTATATGTTGGGATAGGTTGGCGATTTTTTTCCAACTTTCCATTTTACTTGCTTTACTTTCTACTTTGGTAGGACCCAATGAAATTTATATTTTCTTTGATAGCAGGAGGATAAATTGTTTGCATGATGTTCACTTAATCTAATTTATTTATTTAAGAAAGCTGAGGTTTGAGTGTACGTCGTAGCAGGAGTAGTTCTTAATTCTGGCACAAATAGTTTATATGCACTGTGGGAAGTCCCACTCATAAGTGTCATGTCTTGTTTTATTGTTTATTTTGCTGGAAAATGAGAAATATATGTTTACAGTTGATTTAGTTACTGGGAAAAAAAAAGTAGCATTAAACCTGTGATGTATGAGTTGTCATTAGACATGTGAATTTAGTGATCCTCTTTGTTTTTCTAGATACTGCTCAAATAGTTACTGCCCAGAAGCGCATGGGGTTTGCCACTTAAAGGCACCTTGTGAACTTCCGATTAGAATGATTCATGGTGTGTCTGAGCTGGAGCCTGTGAGACTTCCTCACTTCTTGAGTCCTGGTGTGTCCAGGGTCGAGGTCTGCATAGTCCACGGTTGTTTTCTGCCTGCCTTGGGTGGTGCATTGGTTTCCGTAAGGAAATGTAGGTGTTCACGTAAGGAGGGATGTTGGGGTGAGCTGGGAGAGTGCATCTGCACTGCAGCTCAGGCATAGATTCCACAAAAATGAAAATACCCACTCAGAACTCTATGCATGGAAAAAACCCACCCTATTAAGAAGCTTCTTTTTTGTGCACATATAAAGACAGAATTATGCATGTTATCACACACCTTTTGGAAAAAAAAAACAAACCCCAAACCCCCAAATACTTCACTGATTAGCAGCAAATAATCTAAATGACACATAACCCTTTAGGAAGTATACCTTCATTCTCAAATTTGTCTCCATGACTTCCCGAAGGGGAAAGTAAGATCTAACAGGTGTGTTGTACAGCTGATGGCAACTGGGAGTTATGACATGCAGTATACTTTGTTTAACTGTAGTGAACTGCTAACCAGAGGGACTTGTTGATTGGCCAAAATGCAGAGACTGAGTGAGATAGAGCATGTGAAGTCCCTGTACCTTGTTTTTATTTGATTTATTTATTTATTTTTTGGGGGGGTGGAGGAATGGGGAAGGGAAGGTGTGGAGCTGGGTGTTGCTTTGCCTGTGTTGGGGGGTTGATCCCAGCAGCAACTAGGCGTGTACCCATCTGCTCACTCATGCTCCATCCTGGGGAGGGAGTCAGGAGAGCGAAAGGGAGAAAGTCTCATGGATCAGATAAAGATACTTTAACAAGTGAAGGCAAGAGTGAAAAAACAGATGGTGCAAAGGCAGGCATCACCACCTCCTATGAGCAGACTGATGCCCAGCCAATTTCTGAGCAGCAGCTACTTTGGAAAGATTGCATCCCTAGTTTTTATTACTTGGAGTGGCATTATGTGACGAGGTTAGCTGTCCTGGCTGTGTCCCCTCCCAGCCTCTTGCCCACCTCAGCCTATTTGCTGGGGGTTCAGAGAGAGGAACAGGGAAAGCGCTGAGGCTGTGTCAGCACTGTTTAGCAATAGCCAAAACACTGGTTTGCTAGTAAGACTGTTGTAGTCACCAGTTAAGTCCAAAGCACAACACCATACGGGGCTGCTACGGGGAACACAAGCTCCATCCCAGCCAGACCTAGTACAGTGTGTAAGTAATGAGTAGAATTTAGTGATACCATGGCTTCGTTGTTCTTATCCTAAAACAAGCATCTACTACTTTACAGTTCTATTTTTCTGGTGACTTTTTGATTGTTAAATAATGGTGAATTACTTTTAGTTTTTGGTTGCCACATTTAGTAAATGCGATGCTAATTGTAACTGGACAGAGCTGCAGGTTTTGGGAAACTAGATTGTGTATGGCAGTGATTTGCTCGTTCAAGTTCAAAGAATTCAATTAGTGTAGGAGAAAAGGTAATTCTTTTCCTTGTAGAAGAGAACTAAGTATAAAAGCTATTTAGCTGATATTTTCTTTTGCATGTGTTTTCTGTTTTGGTGCTGTTAAACCTGATGGTGCATTGTCTTTCATATTTTCATTCTATTTCTTAACCAGTACAATTACTGAGCTGACTTATTGGTAAAGTGGAGATTACTAAGGTCTGGAGAACCATATAGCCTCTGCTTATTGACTGACTTATTTCCAAGTTCTTTTAAGCTGACTCCTAAGCTTCTGTGTGTTTGAGAAAGTATATGACCTGTCTTCCTGTTCCCTTCAATAAGAATTGTCTTTTTTTTGTACAATGTTTTTAGAAAATTCTGCCTCTTGGAATGTTATAGTGTTGGATAAGTGGGGTAATTATCTGTTGGGAATAATTTAGAAGTGGCTGCTTTCTTTTTCTTCTTGAAGTTTCAAATCTTGTACTAGTCTTTCAGTGGTGCTCAGTCAGTCACAAAAAAGTAAATCTTCATTGACGTGAAGGCTTGGATTAATAGGCGTTGCTGGTTCTGTTCTTCATCTCTCATGCTGACAATGTACCTTTTAAGTTTTATGCCCTCTAAAACACAGGGAGAGTTTCTTCAGCCTATAAATCAGAGTGTTTTGGACAGTTATGACACAGGTTAATTAAAAGTGTCGATTGGATGTCCAAAGGATCTCTCCAGAGGAAAAGTCCATCCAGCTAGCGTTTGCTGGACATCACACTTAATAATGTGACTGCTTCAGAGTTTCACTTGAGACAAGATAAAAAGGAAAGCAAAACAATGTTTCCAGTCTCAAAAAGTTCAGACGATGATTCAAGTGCTAACAGCGCTTAAAGGAAGCATGTATGAAGTAATAAACATCTTCTGCTCCCTTTACTGAAATAGTCTGCCTTGTTTTGAAAAATACAGGTTATGAATTGAGAACTTAATCTTTGAAGGTTCTGTTTCTGGTCAAGTTGACGTAAATGTTTCTGCTGAGTTTTGGGGTTTGGGCATCTTCAAAACAGACAAAAGTAACCGGTAATTTCCTCAGGGCTGGGGCGATCCAGCAGTTAAAGATGACACCATCTTCTAAGTTCTCCTCTTTTTCAAATCCTCCAGGGTTTAACCATATTGAGTAGTGGGTGAATTCAGTCTCTCTTTTAATAGCAGGGACCAATATCATAACTGTATTCTTTTATCTGTTGTGTTAGATATTTTACTGTTAGAGTTAGTTGGTTTTAGTCTTTCCTAGGGTTAGGGAAAAAGAGCCAAACTTGTTTCATGCCTCTTTGCCATAATTTTTAGGGACCTTATTTATTATCATAAGAGCTCATACACTGATCTTTCAATATTAAGATACAATACTACTTATTACTAGCTGTAGCTTCTTTAAGGACACTTCATATTTTAAAAATGGTACCAATTGATTTTCCATGGAAACTCTACCATATCAGCCATAATGTCTTTTGAAGCAAAGATTGTACCGTGAGCAGGTAAGTATGGCCTTATAAGTAGTTTTCAGGAGATTGAAGGCCATTTGGCATACAGGAGAATAACTGGGAAATGGGTGATTTCATTGGAGCTGAGGAGTAAAAGCATGACCAAAGCCAGAAAGGACAGTTTCAGTTTGGGTTTAAATTACTCTTTCTGTCCTTCTTTTCATCTGCCTATACCTGCTACTGGCTCTTGGCTGTTTTTTCATGCTGAGAAGGTGTTCACAGATAGTGCTTTTCATTTTAATTAATCTCAAAAGTAAAAGGAAACATAACTTATCAAAAATTTATTGAAGCTTTTTGATTTCAGTGTCCTTGGCAACTTCTCGCTGCAGATGTATTTTTGTATGTTGTTATCAATTATTTTGACAATAGGAGCATATGTACCAGTACAGTAGGCATGTAATACATAATTACACAGGTGAATACTACATTGTTTGTCTGTGGGTTTAGTGGTGCTGGTGTTTTACAGACATACATCGAAGGATGAGATGCCTCGGGTCCTTAGTGAAGAGGAGATGAACAGACTGGGAGCGAGGATTATAAAAGCAGAGCTCATGGGAGACATGGTAATGTCCTTGAAAAATTGTCATGATTTACTGCAAATTTCTTAAAGCTCATGGTGATTTAGTTGTTAAAAAAAAAAAAAGGTATTGATTCAAGCAAATGAAGTCCTACAAAATTTGATCAGGTAGGATTTAAAGGTGGTACTGCTTTTACTGTACTTTCCACTTCAAATGCAGTGGTTCATAAACTAGAATAGGTGCTTCAGGTCCCTGGGTTTTGTAGTCTAGGAAGCATATCCAAAACCAGTTGTTCTTTGCCTTTTTCGTAGGATTTAATATGTTTTATTAAGCAGGAAGCAGGTGAAAACTGCAGATCTCCCAGTCTGTGTTACAAGGTAGTGCCTGGAGCTTTTGCTATTTCAACAGCTTTGTCACAAGTAGGTGCTTGTGGTCCATAGCTGTCCTGTATGAGCATAACTTGATTAGGATATGGAAATACAAAACTGAAAGGAGCTGCATGGGCCAATCAGAATAATTGAATAACATCTAAGCATATTTTTTCCTGGTGTTTTTATGACAATGCATGTTTCTGTACCTTAGATACCTCTGTTCTAAACAAGTTTTAAACATTTATCTCCATGAAAAAATTGACTAAACTATATTGACATATTTTCTTTGGTTCTTTGTGTCATTAAGGTTTAAAAAAAAAATCAAAATATGAATCAATGGAATGAATAGATAATTTTGATAAAAGGTCTCTAAAAGTTTGAAATGGTTAAACTAATGGAATACTACCACTTTTCTTTGAAGGAATTAGCTTCAAAACTTCAAGCAGAACTTGAGAATGCACGAAAATTGAGGGACGGTCAGGGGCAGTTTCCGGTAAAGTCTGGCAGAGAGGTAAGGGAAAAATATTCTTCTTTTCTTTGTGCTAACACAGTGATGTAATACAGGTAGCAGGTGAATTCTAGACAATGTGAAATGTACTTAGGAAAATCACAAGATGTGACTTCAGGTGAGTTCCTGTTCAAATTAAATTGTACTGGTTCGTCGTAAACAAAACTCTCTCCCCTGTACTTTAGCAACTTCTGTAGGATTTTTTTTTTTACTCAATATTTTCTCAGCAACGGTACATATCTTCCATTAAAAGTAATACTGATAGGTGTTTGCCCAGGAGGCCTAGACGTTGTGATCTGGAACCTAGGCTGTCTTGCCTTTCAAGCTCTGCAGTGAAACTAACACAGGCACCAAAGCAGGTGATCTGCATCTTGCTTAGCTTGGCAGGATTTGGTGCTGGCAGTTACATAACTGATGTCTCTGAGGAAACTGACACTTCAAATGTTGTTCTTTTTAAAGGCTCTTATTAAAGAAATGTATAGTAACCTTTTTCCATACCAATGTTGATACAGCTATGAGGAAACGGAGTCAATATCTTCATTTATGAGCTCTGTCCTCATGGAGAGTAGACTTTTAGGCAAAAACTAACGTTCCTGTCCAATTTGATCCCAATTCCACAGTGAAAATTCAGCTGCAAGTCAGCTGAGTTTGAAAAGGCTTTGTCTCAGACCTCGTACACTGACTAGTATTTCTCCAGTCTCTAGAAGTCAGACTGAACTGAAGGTTAATGTGTGTCCTCTTGCTGATTACATTGTGACAATCCAGGTGAACTATAAAGTGTCAGTCCTTGAATTCACAAGAACTTAAAATTATGAAAGCTTTGTGTAGGTGGACTTTGTTGCAGTGCAGTTTTAGGCATGTTTTCCATGCATATGCAAAAAATCTGAATAATGTGGATTAGAGTTGTGTAATTACATAGGAAAAAATCCATTTGTATTTTAAAATGAGGAAGTAGAGGGCATGTTATGGGTGGTCCTCAGAAATGTTGATAGAGACCTGTTCCTTAGAAATTGTGTCATTAATAACAATTTTGGTCAGCCTTAGTCTTAACCATAGTTTGATTTTTATCTTTATTTTTAATTAAAGGATTTTTAAGACTAATGGCATGTAATCAATGCAGAAGTACCAAATTCTACTGGAGTTTTCAGAAAGGAAAACTAATTTAAAAGAGCAAGCAAAGGCGTATTTAGCATGAGACCTCTCTTTCTAGCTCTCTCTTCATCTTGAAGGCAATTGATCACACAGCTTGCTGTCCATCTTGCTGTCCAAAGCCCCAGAGGGATTGACTTTAGAATATGAATGAGTAGAAATTATTAAATATAGTTATTATTCTTCTGTTCTCTTTTGTGTGCCTGTCCATATTCAGTTTTGCACTCTCGTTGCGCATTTACTCAGGCTGAGTCTTGGGACTTGTGCATGTCCACTCCTTGTCCTGCATTCCCTATAAAGAAGGTGGAAAAAGTTGTGTATGTCCCTAGTGTACCCCCTCTTTTTCCTCTCCTGTGGGACTGACTCAGTCCCCAGTGACCACTTTTGTGTTGTCATTGAAATAAGCTTCTTTGGAAGATCAAAGGGATTTTAAAACAGGGGTCGCTCTTCTCTGAAGTGTCTTGGATGCAAAATGTCTGTCCTTGTGAGATCCACCTTGGACTTTATTTGAAGCTCAGGATCAGGTTCTTAAATAATTCCAGATGTAGGAGCTTGGGTTTTCAGTGTGTTCATCTCAGAATGCTTATTTTTGTATTAGAGTCCATCTGTCTTACAGAAACAATCTTTACTTTGTGAGAACCAGGAATGTTAACAGTCCTGTGATTTTGGACCTTGCTTATTTTGCCAGTGCAAATTGTTCCTTACAGATACAACATGGCTGATGTCTGTAACTCTGCGAATGGTTACTTCTTGACCTGCATCGTGCCACAACAGTATCAAGCTCTTTACAATTTTCTGCAAAGTCGCTCAACTTCTTAGGCTTGCAGTAAATTGGCAGTCTCCCCAAACCCTGGTGAAAACCTTGCCTTTTAGTTGAAGTCACATGGGCTTTAACTACTGCCAGAGCTTGCTTCTCAGAGTGTCGAGGTCTTCCTGTACGTTTTAGAGGTGTGCTGTCTTGTCTTTATGAATAGGCCTTGCCTGTGCCTGTTTCATGGCTACTCCTAGCCTGTATTGCATGGCTTTTGAGTGTGAGCAGTCTGTCCTAAATCCTGTCCCTGTGATAGCTGCCAGGGTAGTCTTACCAGTTTTAGAGCTTCAGACTCCTGGGACACAGGCAGGATGTGTGGGTGTTCCTGTCTATCAAAGACCAGCTGCATTACAGTGTGTGTCTAAACAACCTGGATGTTCGGAAACGATCTCCTAACACCAGAGAGGCTGATCTGTGAGGCTGTATTTGATACTATATCAATCAGACTTTCTATAACATTGACCACCCAAGTGACAGCCTCAACCAGTTCAGCCGGCTGTATTCCAAGTCAGATACCTGAAGCAGTTTCCACAGGAGTGGTTTTCTAAACGGATGTCCCATTGAACCCAAAGTTTGATAGTTTTACCTTTGCTACCATAATAAACATGAAGCATTTTGTTCCGGGCAGGACTCTCTCTGGTTCTTTGAAGCAGCATGGCCAATATCATGCTGAAAGGTCCTGAAACATGGCTTTGCCTTATTTTCACTTCTGTTGGGAGAACTGGGGGGATAAATCACGAAGCAGGGAAGGCAATTTTGAATACATCTCGCTAGGAAGGCTTTTTTTCTTGTTGATTAATTAAACATGGATCGATTTCCCAATTCAGTTCACTGCGTGACTGAATGAAGACTCGTGCTGGTATAAGGGGCTGTGCATGGGTGTCTGGGGTTTGTACACAGGACAGGATCAATTCTTTTAACAGCAGTGCTGTTTTATTCTGCCTTGAAGTGGTCCAGAAACTACAGACTGAAGGGACTGTGAAGTGGTAGCTTAAATCCTGGCTTTATTTATTTGGTTTTAAGTGAGAATGGAGACAAACATAGCTTTTATAGTTTGTCCAATTTAGACAAGAATTCTTTTCCATGCAACTCCAAAATTATGGTTTTGAAGTACAGTTTTCAACTAGTGATGTTTGGTGTTAAAAAAAACCCTTACTTATATCAGCAGATGTATTTCATCAAGCACAAGGGTCCTGGTAAGACTGTTTTGGTAATGGTTTTCCTTACGTCCAAAGTCACCTGTAGTTTTAAGACCTGCTGTTAGTAATGAATTTAGACATTGCAAGTAGAGATTTCCAGGAGAAAAAAGCCAAAAAGCACAAATATGTACATCTTTCCGAACCTAGAATAGCAGGAAAATTGTACAAGATACTCAGGACTTTTCCTCTTCAGTAAGCTCACTTGGGTAATTGTATAGCCAAAATTTATCTTGGGGAAGAAAGTAATTGTTGTTTTCTTGTATGCTTTTTTCCTTTGTTCTTGGTGGTTAGTGTGATGTTTTTTAAAATTTCATAAAGTGAACAACCACAACTAATAGTGTTACAGGTTTTCTGTGTATGGAGGTATCGGAGAAAAATTCAGTACAGGCAAAAACATGTTTGGATTCTCTTGATATAGAAAAAAGCACCACCCAGTAACTTGGTCTTAAACCATTTTTCAGCAGTACTAAAGTGTTTTATGCACTACCAGCCCTCATTTTTCCTGTCTAACAATTAATTTGTTTTCAACTGCTAGGCTTCCATGTGTCCAAAGTGCAGAAAAGATGAAAATTTATTAGTTGAGATGCTGTTAAATTGTTTGTGGCTTTTGAGTAGCTTTATAAATGGAATTCTTCTGCGTGAACTGAGACATGAATTTTTCAAGAAAACTTGTCTGCTTGAAGAGGTTAGTTTTTAGATATATTCCTCTTGAAGGCTTGAGTAGCTGTTATCTTGCCTTTTTTGTACTTCAGGAAAAATACTGGGGAATATTGTGTGGGGATATTGGTTCACTGAAGTTGTCTAATTTTTTTCCACATTTTTCTTCCCTACATCATTTCTACATCATCTTAAATATTTAGTTGCACTTTTTGCTACTTCTTTCCTGGAGTTAATTTATTTGATATCTAATCTATAAAAAATAAAATATATACATATATAATACACGTATGAAACCTAAATAGAGGTTAAGTTTATTTTAATAGCCTCTGAGCTGGTGTGCCGTTGTATTTTCCTAGTTAGTTGTGCTAGAAGAGTGAAGAAGCATTGCTTAATTCCTGAATAGGCAGGTAAGAAGATACAAGCCTTCTGCTCCACAGTAGTAAGCAGAGGGATTCTGAGAGGACACCACCATGTGTCAGGCTGCCCTAAGTTGGGAAACTCCTCAGTAGCAAGGCTTTGTGAAACAGAACAGGCTAGGCAGGAAGATAATGGGAGTAAAAGGTAGATTTATTAATTTCTTCTCTTTACATCTCTAAACACATCAATATCTGATATCCTTAAGTGCATCACAGGTAATTTTTTGCGTTAGTGACATATAGTAAACATTCTAATCCTTCATTTTCCCATTTGAAATGTGAAATTAGATCAGAATAACAGTTTAGGCACTCTAGACACCAAACAAGCCTGATGTTTGCCACATGGGATTAGATAGCTCTCACAGGGTAGAGACTGTGTATATTGTAGATGGAAGGTCTGTGCCTAAAAAGCACAAAATGCCTAAAAGTGCAGCATGCGTAGGTGCCTCACCTGTGTGTTTTTTATGCTCAACTGCAGTGAGAGAGTCATTGGCTTGTTTGAATGTAGCATCCTGGAAGTCCAGGGGCTACCTGTGTGATGTCTGCACACTGTGTGAACATCTTGACTTGGGTCGCTGCCGGCTGTAGACCCCCTCAGTTGTTCACTGCAGGTCACCTTAAGCATGTAGTCCTGTAAGTTTTAGTAGGATTACAAGTAAACCAGGGCATCTGTTAGGTGAAATTTGGGGCCTTAAAGGCTATCCTTCTTAAATACTTGGGTCACGTGTACAACGGCAATGAATGTATATGCCAAGACTCTTTAAAAGG